TAGACTAAGGATTCATGCATTTTGACATCCTTGTGCAACATATTCTGTTCAGCAAATTCACTTGCTGTTGTCCCGGTAGTCAGTTTAGCCCTGGCCTTCCACTAGATTCTGGGTTCTCCCAAGTTTATGGGCAGCCACTGAAATTAGGGTTGGTACTGCAGGCATGATTAGAGATGGTCTGGTTTTCTAAGTTGTGTTCTTGTTCACATGTTCATTTCCCCATTGAACAAATTTAAAGTGTCACCCACTCTTTTGCTAAGCTTTCAGGCTTGTGTCGGGTTAGTACATACTTACAAGCATTGTGAATGTTGAGTTTTCACTAGAGTATCCCTTTTGGCATCTTGCCCAGTAGCGGTAACGAGGAAGGAATGTGTCCAGAATTGCTCCCTGAAAGTCACATTGCTCTCTCATTTCATGGCCTGCTGTGTCACCCGTCTCTGCTATTTCTGGACTTTCCACTACCAGTCTCTCTTCCACTTCCCTGTCATCACTGTTCCTTTATTACGCCAGACCTCTAGCTGTCGCTTCACCTGTGCCGTGTTCATCTATTATCAGGATCCCCATGTAGAGGCTGCTTTATATTCTTCTGTGTGGCAGCTGGTGCCACAAGGTGAGCTCTTTTTGCAAGCATTGGCTCACCACATGGTTTGTGTGATTCGTCCTCTTCGCTTCCTTCACACAGAGAGACCCTTGGAATGTCTTGCCAGAAATATCCCTCGCAGCAAAACATCTTTCCATATAGAAACGGCTCTCATGTGGAGCAACATAAAGGGTCCCTATTTTCGTAGGCTGCGCCCACACGTCCTTGGGTATTGTGCTGCTGTTGCACTTTAGGGAGAGGCCTTAGCTCTGCACTAAAATATCCATCTTGCGTGCCCAAGGTCCCAGCTTCAGTCCCCAGCATCTCCAGTTAAGAAGGGATCAGGTAATGCTGCAAAAAACTTTTGTCTGAGACGTCTTTCCAGTTTAGAAAAGAGACGACTAGGGGGGCGCCATGATAGAGGTTTATAAAATCATGCATGGGATGGAGAGAGTTGACAAAGAGAACTTTCTCCCTCTCCCAAAGTAGTAGAACTTGGGGGCATACAATGAAGCTGACGGGCAAGTAGGTTCAGCATGCTTTCTTTACACAGAGGAATTTCACATTACCCTTTTAAACCCGTTTTGAAGCCGTTTTTGATCCGTCATGGAGTAAACCGGTATAGGGCTGCCATTTCACACATGGCTTTCCCCTTCCGGTAAAGAGCTGGATTTGAAGCGGTTTGCCATTTCAGACTGCACCGCTTTCCCCCCGCCATTTTTCGCCCGTGCGGGCGATCTCCAGCTTTTTTAAAAAAACATTCGCTTTAGAGTGCTATATCGGTATAGCACTCTAACAAAACACTCCAGGCATTCAAATGGGGTTGATATAATGCTGTTGCGTCATACCGTTATAGCACTATAAAGTGAACGTTAAAAAAAAAGCCGGAGATCGCCTGCGCGGGTGAAAAACGGCGGGAAAAAGCGCATTGGAACCGGGAGAGGAAACTGAAGACTACTTGGAAGTGGTTGACAGGTAAAACGCTTCAGCCCTGTTTCCTAAACGGGACAGAAGCATCTGTGTCTGAAATTACAAATATATTCCAGTAGGGAACCGGTTCTAAAACGGTTCTGTCTGAAATGACAGACCAGAAACCGTTTGGGAACCGTTCGTCTTCCGGATTATATCGTCTGTCTGAAATTCCTTACAGTGATTAAAATGTGGAATGCACTGCCAGAGGACGTAGTGATGGCTACAGGAATAAACAGCTTTAAAAGGGGATTAGATAGATTCATGGAGGATAAGTCTATCCGTGGCTACTAGTCATGGTGACTGAGGGGAACCTCCACATTCAGAGGCACGAATCCTCTGGATCCCAGAGGCAGGAGGCAACTGTCTACCTTGTTGTTGGCTGCCCAGAGGAACTGGTTGAACTGGTGTGAGACAGGATGCTGGACTAGATGGACCCTTGGTCTGATCCAGCAGGCCTCTTCTTATGTTCTTAATCTTGAGAGCAGCAGCAGTTCGAGACCCGGGTGCCGCAAGACGGAGTGAGCTCCTGTCTCTAGTTCCAGCTCCTGCCAACCTAGCAGTTCGAAAGCAAGACATTGCAAGTAGATAAATAGGGACCACTTTGGTGGGAAGGTAACAGTGTTCCGTGCGCCTTGGTGTTTAGTCATGCTGGCCACATGACCATGGAAACGTCTTTGGACAGCGCTGGCTCTTCGGCTTGGAAACGGAGATGAGCACCGCAACCCTAGAGTCGGATTCAACTGGCTTTCGAGCAAGGGAACCTTTACCTTTACCTAAGGCAGCTGCATGTGTTCAGTCATTCACAACTGGATTTTCTACTGTGGACAAGACTATCCAGTGATGAAATGCAGTATCCAGTGACCTGTGGATTCAGCCTTAGATTGTTAGTTCTTGAACAGGTGCCGGAATAAGTAGAGGGGCTATGTCAAAGGTGAACATGCCAGGCCCTCAGTAATGCTAACCACAGCCCAACTTCCAGCACAGCTTCCATGTGAAAGAATATCACTTCAGTTTGGCTTGGGATTTTTTGTTTGCTTACGAATTGCTATAACCCCAAGATGTATGAACACCTGGCCAAGGGTGTGCCTACTCAAATCCAAAATATTGTCCTAAGGGGAAAAGAAACCCCTTTCTGCATTCTGTAAATTATACAGATTAAATAAATGTGCATTTTTTCTTATGCATAAGTTATTTGACTTCTCTTGGTCATTAGGGGGAGGTATAGAGATGTGAAGGCCCGGAAAAAAACCGGAAAAATTTGGAAAAAAACCGTTTTTTTTCCTGAAGGTTTTTTTGTTTTTTTCCGAAAAATTGAAAAGAAAAGAAAAGAAATTGATTATGGAACGTTTTATTTTAACATGATGACTAAAATATTTTAAGACAAGGTGTTCAAATATTTTCCAAATCATTTCTAAAATATATATATATATATATGGTATCAGATTGATCTAATGCTTGAGCAAGTCCTAGGTTACAAACTGAACTCTCCAATGCAAGAACAAGATGCATTTCTTCCTTTAGGAGGTGCTATTGTCAGAAGAAAATAAAAAGGTTTCAGTTTTGTTTTTGTATGTGGGTGGGTATTCTGTTTGTAATAATTGTTTGGATACACTATATTTTTAATATGCTAGTTGTGATAATTTCATGCCAAGTAAAAATGTCCATAGTCATATTTTATGTTCCTAAAGTAACAGAATGACTTTCAATCTAGAAAAGACAAAAGAAATGCTAATGTAGCATTTTTTTCAATTTTTCTGAAAATTTCTGTTTTTCCCCGAAAAAAAACGGGTTTTTTTCCGAGCTTCAAAATTTCCGGAAATTTTACATCTCTAGGGAGGTAGGGAAGGGGTTTAACACGGCACTGAAGCTTTGTGCCTAACCATGGTGCTTGTAGTTTCTGGATTTCACTAGTGTATTGTCCTAACACTTTCAGGCATATCATAACACCCATAAGGGCTAGAAACGTACTTTATTTTAAAAAGTAGAGATTCTCATGAAACTGAATTCTGCTGCTGTGTTATGAGTATATTCTTCTGGTTGGTTGATATGGCAGCATGTGCTCAGCCCTGACTGTAATGATTCATTACTCTGAACTAGTGGTTTATTTGTGTGCCCTTGTAGGCCTATACCAAAACAAGTCCTTGTGTGGGGGTGAACACATGACATATGAAGCTTCCTTCTACTGAATCAGACCCTTGGTCCATCAAAGTCAGTGGTGTCCAGTGTTCCCTCTAAGCTGAGTTAGTGTGAGCTACCTCACAGTTTTTTAGCCTCCAGCTCACACATTTTTGTCTCGGCTCAGGAAGGATGGCTCCAGAACAAACTAATTTATGCAGTAGCCAAATAGCTTGCTCACAAATGTAATGCCAGCAGCTCACAAAGTAGAATTTTTGCTCACAAGACTCCACAGCTTAGAGGGAACTGTGGTAGTGTCTACTCAGATTGGCAGCAGCTCTCCAGGGTCTCAGGCAGAGGTCTTTCACGTCACCTGGTCCTTTTAACTGGAGATGCCAGGGATCAAACCTGGAACCTTCTGCATGCCAAGCAGATGCTCTACCACTGAGCCACAGCCCCTCCCATTAGAATAGCAGCTGTGCAAACAGAGTTAGACCAAACAAGCGTGGTGCAGTGGCTATTGGACTAGGATTTGGGAGACCCAGGTTTCAGTTCCCACTCTGCCAAGGAAGCTTGCTGGGTGAATTTGGGCCTATTTTGCCTCACAGGAGAATATGGAGGAAGGGTGAAAAGTCCAGAAGCTGCTTTGGGCCCACATTGAGGAGAAAAGTTTATATATCTAAATGTATAAATACATGGAACCTTCTTTTTAGGTGAAATTTTTAAATCCCCTGCACCAGAAAATATAAGCTGTAAGCAATGTTCCCTCTAAGCTATGGAGTCTTGTGAGCAAAAACGCTACTTTGTGAGCGACTGGCATTAAAGTTGTGAGCAGGTAATTTGACTACTGCATGGATTAGTTTGCTCTGGAGCCAGCCTTCCTGAGCTAAGACAAAAATGTGTGAGCCAGAGGCTAAAAAACTGTGAGCTAGCTCACACTAACTCAGCTTAGAGGGAACACTGGCTGTAAGATGCTTTACAAAAGCAAAATACTGTAAAGATATACAGACACATCAAGCAAGTTATAGGTCAAGACCTGAAGAAGTGAGCAGTGACTCATGAAAGCTCATACCTTGTTGTCACACATTTTGTTAGTCTTTAGGGTGGTATTGGACTCTCACTCTTTTCTAAAGCAAGTTATAGGAATCTGGTAGACTTTTGAGGTGGAATCTCTTCCTCAGACATCCTCCCTGAAGACCTATGTGATATCTTTGGAATTGTAACTGCTGCTTCTTGTTCATTTTGTCTTTCTAACGCAGCAAACAAGCAATTCTTGATTTTTGTGGCTAAGTAATATTTTACCCACTTTTACCTCTTTTTATCTCTCTTCTAGACTAGTGGCTGCTATTTCTCCACCAGCAGCTGTTACAACACCAAATTTTATACTGATCCCGTGGAAGCGGTAAAAGACATACCCAATGGGTCAACTCTCCTTGTTGGTGGTAAGTAACGCTTGAATCCCTTGTTCTTAGACTTGTTCAGATGGGAAGTATTTTTCTCCCTGACATTTCCCTCCCTGACAATAAGTGTGAAGTATCCTGTTCTGGATGGGGTTGTACTCTCCTTAAAGGAGCAGGCTCGTAGCTTGGGGATGCTGCTGGATTTGGGACTCATGTTGGATAAACTGGCAGCAGTACTGTCCAGAGTACCTTTCACCAGCCTAGGCCCTTCCTGAGCAGGAAAAATCTTGCCACTGTAGTACGTGCCCTGGTGACATCTAAATTAAATGACAACCTGCTCTAAACGGGGCTGCCCTTGAAGAGTGTCCAGAAGCTACGATTGGTGCAGAATTCTGTGACCGAAATTCTTGCTGGAATGGGTCGTAGGGGGCGTATCACTCCAGTTTTCTTCCACCTACACTGGCTCCCAGTTTGCTTATGTGCCCAATTCAAGGTGCTGATATAAAGCCATCTACAGCTTAGGTCCAGCATTCCTTAAGGGCTGCCTATTCCGTATGAACCATCTAAGGCTACATGGGAGACAACCCAAAGAAGAGCCTTCTTGAGTGTGGCACCAAAGTTATGGATCTCTGTCCCCAGGGAGGTTCACCTATCATTGTCCTCCTCCAGCGGTGAAAGCTCACTCCATCTAATTGACCCCTCCTCCCTTCATGTACTTTTTTGTTTGTGCTCTGTTTTATTTTTTTATATATTTATATCTATTTATAATTTGGATTTATGGATCACCCAATCCCTAAATTCACAGGGCTCTGGGTGATGAACAGTAAAATAAAATACATAATAAACAATTGGTAAAAATATAATGAATACATCATCATCAAAAACAATCCCCAGATGGCGTTTAAATCAATCTTCAACCAGTTCCGGACTATGATGCTGCCTTGTGAGCAGGATAAGGAGGAGGCAGAGAGAGAAAGAAAAAAGGAGAGAGGAGGGTGCCAGCCATGATATTACCTATCCCTATGATGCCGCCTTGTGAGCAGGATAAGGAGGAGGCAGAGAGAGAAAGAAAAAAGGAGAGAGGAGGGTGCCAGCCATGATATTACCCATCCCTGTCCCCAACCAAAATATGTGTTTTTAAACTTGTTTTAATGTTGTTTGCTACTTTGGAGACCCTAAATTGGGTGGACAGGTGGCTTTAAAATGTTTTAAATCGATTGTGTAAATAAATAAACCTGTGCCTACAATGCTGGATAACTGTGGCACTAATCCATCTCTTTGTAACCTTCCAATATAAAGGCGTAGGTGCAATTTAGGTCAAAAATCAAGCATAAAACTCATTCCAGAATAGGCTTGTAAAATTTCTATGTTAAGACAGATCTTCAGAAAGTAGGTGACATGGGTGGAGTTCTTGGCATATTAAAAAAGAACAAATTTGTATGAAATCTAGGCAAAAGGTGAGAGCTGTTAAGGCATGCCGGATAACTTAGAGAAGTGCATGTGTTTATTTGACTTGCCTGTTCCAGACTTGTACCTCTATTGCTAAGAGAATTGCTCTGGAGGATCGACATCTGAGGATGACCAACATGTTCTGAGAGGAAATACTGTCTGTATAGTCCTGTTGCTGAAAAGAAGATGTTAGAAGCCAGTATTTCCAAAGCAGGGAAACAAGTGGAGGGCACCATTCTACAGATAAGGAATCCATGATGAATAGGAGTGGGGTTTACATGTGACCCACTGGGGAGGGGGAGAAAAATTGTAAGAAGACATAGTTAAATATCTGGTCAGCCCATTTTTCAGTCATTTGTATTTAAGATTTTGAATTCCTTCTGTAGTGGATGACAGGGATTAAAAACCTCTGGTTTATTGGGTGCTAGTTTGGGCTGTTCTCTCTCTTCACACATTTGATCCTTGTATTTGCCATTTTAATATAGGCATAGGAATTCTGGATTGGCTTATTAGCCAGTTGTGATTTGTGGCCATTACTGGGCATGCCCGATAACTTGGGGAGGGGTATGTGTCTTTTTTATAGCACTGGAGCAGGAAGGCACTTGCTGAAAAACCTAGTGTTATGAAAGACTTACTTTCCTGAGCCAGGGTTGTGGGGTGGGGGTGGGGTTCCTCATGTTGAGCCGGGGCCTTTGTCCCTGACAAGTGGATTTGTGGCATTTTGCATTTTAGAATGGAATGGGTCTCTAACGGGATAATTTCTTTTTATTGTGCAGGTTTTGGGCTCTGTGGTATTCCTGAGAACCTCATAGGAGCTTTATTGAAGACCGGTGTAAAAGGGATAACCGCTGTCAGTAACAATGCTGGGTATGTGGGCATCTGTCCTGAGAATACTGTTAATGCAAGATTTAATTGGGAATGACTTTAAATCATTGATTTAATAGCTATGTAGTCATTTTTTAAAAAGTTTCTTTCAACCCCCCCCCCAACAGAAAAAAACCAACAAGGAGGGGGGACTTGAAACCCAGTAACTATTTTTTTTAAAAAGGATCCCTGTCACAGTTCCCTCTAAGCTGTGCTAGGGAGTGCTGGTGCACAACATTTCAGAGGCCAGCTCAGAGGATTTCTGCTTCAGCTCACAAACTACAGAGGATGGGGGCATCAGCTTATGAGGCCCATAGAACTGGACCCCCTGATCCAGTCTTTTTGAAATTTGGGGTTTTTTTTGAGGAGAGACACCAGCAACTATGCTGCAAAATTGGTGCCTCTACCCAGGGGTCATTTCCTAGAAAAAGAGGTGCAGGAGCTCATTAGCATAACTCATTAGCATAACTTATTTGCATATGCCACATCCCCTGACATCACCGGAGGTGTGTCAGAAGGCAACACCCACCGCTCAGGCTCCACTGGACTGTTTTGGATTGCTAGCTATTGGGGGGGGCGGGGACGTGCAGACCTGCCCTCACAGAGGAGGGAGAGCTTGTACCTAAAGGCGGGGGGGGGGCTCTGCAAATTACCTGGCTGCTTCTTGCTCATCGTGGCCTAACTGAGGGCTGCTGGGAGCAGGGGCGGGGCTTGTAGCATGTGCCCGCCCCCTGAGCTCCTTACTGTCGGAGTTCCGCTCCTGTGCGCTCCAGCAGGAAATGACCCCTGCCTCTACCACAAAAAACAGGCCCCTCTGAGCCCCAGATACCCCGAATCAATTCTCCGTTATAGCCTATGGGGCCATTGACTATAATGGTCCCCAGAGGCAATAATTGAGCTAGAAGAAAATAATTTTTGTGCACACCCCTATTATGCTTTTCAGTATGATTTGTAAGCTTCCTTGAGTCATATGGGAAAGTGGGATATAAATATTTGAATAAATTAGTTTGGGCAGGTTGATAACATTTAAGCAACTTCCTGTTTGTTAGGTTATGCAGGGTTCTGACAGTGATTGTTCCACTTCTGTTGTACTTCACCTGTAATGCTGGTTCTCATATTTCACTAACCCCCCCAAAAAACACATCAAAGTAGACTGCAAGAGTCCCCCCCTCCCAAGTGCTGCTATGTTTTCTAAGTGTCAGCGCAGGGCTATGGTCCAAGGCCAGGTGTGCAAATATAGTGGACTGGGGTGAGTAGATCTGTTCTCCAGAGGCCAGGTCTACCAATATAGTGGAAAGGAGTGGGGAGACCAGTTCTCTGGAGGCCAGGTCTACCAGTAGAGTGGACTGGGGTGGGTAGACCCGTTTTCCAGGCCTGGTCTACTCCTGTAGAAGACAGCATGTTGTGTAATGAAGTTTGACTTGATTCTATTTTCTCTTATTATACTTAACTGAAGGAGATTCCTTGGGCTTTGGCAGATATCTAGAGTTTAGAGTAAGGAGGTTCTAAATCATGGAGGACAATCATTAGAAATGCTTTTGTACATTCCTTGCAATTTGTATGTGGTGCCTAGATAATGTTTTGGAGTTTGGAATGGGAAGATACAGTCACTAACATTCAACCCACAGATGTCTCAGAGACTCACCTGGGACATAAGATTTCTGATCTTCAAAGCCTAATTTAGGAATTTGCCATGGTTTGCATGCTTTCCCTCTCTCACCGTGTGCAGACTCCACCTCCCTTCTATGTCTTGCTATGCCATAGATTGCCATGCTGTCTAAATTTGGAATCATTATAGTTAAAAGAGTAACCAAGGAAGATGGTGGTTTTCAGTCTATTTTAACTAACTCTTAACTGTAGATGCAGATGCCACAATAAATTCTAGTTAAAGAAAACCATAAAAAGTCTGTAAGAATTTGTGTAGGATAGAAGAGAGAGAACAGAAGGTTGGAGTGCTTTTCTTGATCTCCAAGCCATGGTATGGAAATAGAAAACAGCAAGAGTCCAGTAGCACCTTAAAGACTAACAAAATTTGTGGCAAGGTATGAGCTTTCATACTTCTTCAGATACAGCTAGAATGTGAGTCCGTCTATCCTTATATCTTGGAGAGTGGAGTGATTTCAGAAGTCAAACGACAGTAGTAGGCAAATGACAATGGCAGGTAAATGATAATAGCAGGTGTGATTGTATTAGGTGTGATATGCAGAGGGGTAGTAGGCATGGTATGGATAGTGGGGAAAGTGGTGCATGAAAAAATATTTATGTCAGAGCATAGATTGTGACAATCCACAGGTTGGAGCCCACCTAAAATTTCTGTGGATGGAAAGATGGAGCGATTTTTTGCTAATTCCCTCCCAGCCCGTGGCAGACCTCCCCTCCTCCAACCTGTGTCCGGGTGTCCCCCATCCCCAGGAGCAATATTCTGGAGGGCAATGTGGGAGGCAGGGAAGTAATGTTTTGCGGAAGGAAATCCTTCTCTCCACATAATTTTTTGATGAAATCCAAGTCCATGTCATCAGGGTGTTGATTCCACACCAATGGGTGATAGTTCAGTGTGGAACAGTTATCATCGTACCTGTTCTGCATTACCGGTATCAACGTAGCAATTACCGCAGTCAAAATAGCAGAGGGATTTGGGTGCTTACTTTGTAGTGTGAAAGGGCAAATGAAGCTTTTAGTCCCACTTTCTTTGAAAGTTAACCATCTGTGGGTTAAACTTTAATCAAGCTTTCCCCCTTGTTTATCAGTATCTATATTGACAGTGTAACCTGCATGATAAGATAAAACTGTTTCTTCCACCATTAAAACACTTTCAGGCTGTTTTCATTGTCCAATTTGAGCACTGTTGCTGGAAACTTCACAGCTTATTGTTTCGTAATAGGGTATTTTCAGCTAGAGAATCCTGATATTTCGGAAGCATTACAGTTAATGAGTGGTCTCATTACCGTAATGCTTGCAAAATACGGAGATTCTCTAGTTAACTTCTGACCTTTTTTGATTGTGGTCTTAAGAAATATTTAGGAACCACTGTAGAATTGAGTAATTCTGTACAGCCTTCAGTGTTGCTTTTCTCTTTCATAATACACTGGTTTATACTATCAGTTTCAAAAGCATTTGCTGTGGGAACCCTGCTGTGTGTATGTGTAGTTTTACCATAAAGATGCACATGGGTGTAGAGATTTTTTTTTTTTTTTAACAGTGGTGGAGGATTGGGATTTTCATTAGTTAGAGACTTGGAGTATTTTTAAAGCATTAACTTTATCAGAACAGAAAAAAGTAACTTTAATCTGCAGGTGTGATATTGGTACTAGTTACGGAAATGAATGAAGTCGGGCTTGGAAGGGGTGATTGGTTGGCTGAGGGGCAACAAAGTGAAGCGCCATCAAGATAAGACCAAAGTGCTGTTGGTTGATAGGAAGACCAGAAGGGGATGGAATCATCTACCTGTTCTGAATGGGGTAACACTTCTTTTTAAAGAGGAAGTATGCAGTTGTTGGTGCTTTTCAATCCAAGATGAAGATGGGGGCTCAGATTTGTTTTTGGCGAGTTCTGACTGGCTCACCAACTGCAGCCCTACCTTAAGCAGTAGGATTTGGCCACAGTTGTCCAGGCTCTGGTCACGTCTTAGTTGGACTATTGCAATGTACTGTATTTTGAGCTGCTTTGGAAACTTTTAACTGGCTCAAAAGGGGGCAACTAAACTGGGAGCAGGTGTGACATCCTATAGGAAGTTGTTGTTGTTCAGTCGCACAGTCGAGTCTGACTCTTCACGACCCCATGGACCATCTCTCGCCAGGCCCTCCAGTCTTCCGCCGTCCTCTGAAGTTGGCTTAATTTCATTGTTGCATCAATGACACTGTCTAATCCTTTGCCGTCCCCGTCTCATCCTTTGCCGTCCCCGTACATCATGCCATCTCATCCTTTGCCGTCCCCGTACATCATGCCAATTTTCCAAGCCTTATTATGGCTGCCATATTTGCTTCAGAACCAATCAAAATGCTGGTGTTGATCTTTAATGTCCTGTATGGTCTGAGTTTTCACTTTTTATTTGGTACATTCTTATCCCACACTGCCTCTAAAGAAGCTACAAGGGTGAACATCTTTCTGCCCTCCTCCATTTTATCCTCAGAACCCCCTGTGAGGTGAGTTAGGATGAGAGAGTGACTGGCCCAAGGTCACCCAATGAACTTGATGGCGGAGTGGGACAACTGAACCTGGGTCTCCCATGCGGGCTGTTGTGTTTTGCTGCGACATGCTGACATGGCTACTTCAGTAGAGTGGTCAGAAAAGACAGAATGCCGTATTTAAGTACACATCATAAAAATAGCCTTACTGAATCAGAACCGTAGTCCATCTAATCCAGCATCCAGTGTCACACAGTGGCCACCCAGTTACCATGGAGGACTAGCAAACAGGGCATAGAGGACAAGACCTTCCCGTGATGTTTCCTCCTAGTACTGGTATTCAGAGGTTTACTGCCTCTGAATATGGAGGTTCCCTTCAGTTATCATGGCTAGTAGCTATAGGTGGAACTGTCTTCCATGAATCTGTCTAATCCCCTTTTAGCAATGGCCATGAAGTGATGGCTATGTTCACTGGCAGTGAATTCCACAATTTTATTACTAACGGAATACTTCTGCTGTCCATCCTGAGTCTATCACTTATCAGCTTCTTTGAGAGCCCGGGTGGTGTGGTGGCTAAGAGCAGCAGACTCTAATCTGGAGAACCAGGTTTGATTTATTTATTCATTCTTCAAATTTGTACCCCGCTCTCCCAGTCAAGGCCAGCTCAGGGTGGCTTACATAAAATCTAAAAAAAACCATTTAAAATAGTACAATAAACCATTTAAAACTGTTTAACACACTGTTCCACCAACGCCCAAGGAGTTCCGCATATTGCCGTCTTGATGTGGGCATCATCGGAGGGAACGGGACGTCTTTTAGGGGACAGTAGGGCAGTGGGATATGCACTGCCGTAGTTGTCTAGCTATGTTACTGAGAACG